TATATATATATATACCCCCTTAAGTTTAAGGATTATTGAGCTTGATAATAGTGAGTAATCTCATACTAATTTAGAATAATAAGTTATAGGTCTAACTCAATTCTACATAACAAACTTGTAAGGTGAGAGTTATTATTTATTTATATACTCTTTAGTTATTTTATTTCTAGTCAATGTGGGACTAAAGTTTTTCTTAATAAATAATTGTCGCTAATAGTAAATTTTGGTGTGATATAAATATATTTTTAATAACCATTATATATTAGTCACTAATACTTTTATTAAATAATAAAACAAAGACAATTAATTTATTGCCGGTAAATAATTGTCGGTAAAAATGAATTTTGTTAGTGAAAGGACCATACAAATATTTTCTTAATTTTTTAATAAATATTTTCCATTAAATTAAAGGACCATAAAAATATGATTTTAAGTTTTCCGTGAAGCAAGAATTATTTCAAAATAAAATTTATAAATAAAAAAATATATATATATTAAGAAATAATTCTTTATTTGTATTTGCATGAAAATTTTAGTGTTTAACTTTTATATATTATTAGTATAGAATTTTACACCATCACATTAACTAAAATCATATAATTTTTTGACATTATTAGTACATAATAATATTTATTTATTTAATTATTTTATATATACACATACATACGATACGACAGTGTATGTGTGTGCACACACATAGTAATTAGCAAGTATCATTTTAAATAGAACAAATCTATTTTTTTTAATAAAAAAATTATATGAAACAATGGCTATTTTTGTGTCTATGAAAAACACTATCATGAGTCCATTTCTTCATCACCATTATTCATTACACATTAATTAGTAGGAAAAAATAACAAATTACATAAACATCAGAAAGATCTTAAAGGAACTCTAGGAATTCAAAACAACCAAAATCAATGGAAAAAAATCGGGAAGCACACATATCATTTGATTAAAAAAAAAAAAAAGAAGATAAAATCGATATGATGTCTTTTATACAATTTTCTTTATATCTTTTTTACTCTTTTTTATCACATTATCTTTTATATTTTCTTTCATCAGTATAGGACAATTTAATAATTTTAATTTATAATATTAATTTAATAATTAATTAATTAATATGAAATTACTTCACAATTCTCTCACTTGTTTATCAATCTCTACTACACAATGTAGTTTTTCATCTTAATAGAATTACCAAAACAAAAAATAACTGTATTTTTTTCATGTACAAAATGTAAATATCTCTCAATTTAACTTAAATAAAATATAGGCTTAAATATGTTTTTAGTCCCTTAAAATTAAGATAAATTTATTTTTAATCTCTCAAATTTAAAATTAGTCTTTTACTCTCTATAATTTTTTTTTAAAAAAAAAATATTTTAGTTCTTATACTTAATTTTTGTTAAGGAATCTCTGAAATAATATCGCATAAAATTTATCTACTAATATCTCCTATTAATGAGAACATTACCTTATACCCAAATGATGATATATAATTGTTTCAATCTATAACATATATATATATATATATAT